CATCCTCCGATTCCGCCCCTTCAACACCATAGACGGGCGGAGCAAAGAGGGCTGGTGTCTCTTCAGTCGCCCGGTTGAGAAAGCAAACTTCCTCAATTAGGCCGTGGACAATCGCCTACCAATAACCTCGGTTAGATTGGTGAGAGTCAACGGCCGGGGATAGGGTCGACCTTGATCGACGGGTCCGGGGCGCCTTCGGAAATATGCTGCACTCGTTCCCGGAGGCTGCCCAGTCAGAACCAGCGATGGACACCCGGAGGGGTTTTAGTGGGTGCAAGTCCCACATAGCCCGCGGTTCTCCCCCGAGGCCGCGGGTATACGTCAGGCATTTCCCCTCCGATACCAAAAAAAAGAAAAAAAAATAGATTATCATATACCCATGGGTATATAACAACCTACCCCTAACCTTCCCCTAAACTACATATTTACCCAAATTTTCTGCTAAAGCAGTGAACTTGTGTGCGCGTGGAAAGTCGCGCGCCACTAGGCAATGGCAGAGATAGAATGCAATAGATAGTTTAGAACAGTTTCTGATGTTATATATAGCCGAAATAGGACGTTATTTTTTCAAACTTTTTTTGGTGATAACTTTTTAATAAAGGACGAGCGACTGCTGAAACTTGTTAGAGATCACTCAGGGTCATGACCTTGACAACATATATCAAGGTCAAGGTCATTGGGGCGGGGTCCCCTAATTTTTATCATACGAAATACAAATACAAAAACGTATTTAAATACGTATTTTATATACATGTACTTCAAATAGTACCTTCCCCTGGCCGAAAGACATCATGATTTAGAATTTTTTTCGAAAAAATTCTAATTCTACTGGACTCAGGGTGGGTCACACAAAAGTCTGGATACACCCATATATCTCATAAACGATGTATTTTAGAAAAAAATATTTCTAACAAAAGTTGTAAGGGTTAAAAAGACGCATTCAACGATAGTAGTTATTTGACCTAGGATGATGTTGTCAAGGTCAGGTCAAGATCAACGTGAATTTTTTAAATAGAACCCCCCCTTTTTCATTACATATTCTTGTAGCTTATCTCGAGAGCTTTCCAAAACACTATAATTAAATTATTTTCATTAAGTACTTTGCGAGTTATAAGGCTTGAAAGTTATCGCCGACATTAGCATTACGCAAGGTGTCCTACCAACGGTTTCATTTTTGTACTAAAAATTTATTTTTATGTAAAAATGAAAATAAGAGAAACAATCTCCAATGACCTTGATCTTAACAAATATTATTCAGGACATGATCCTGAACAACATTCGAGAGGTTTTAGCCGTAGGTCGGACATCTTGGGTAATGCTAATGCCGACAGTACTGTAACTTTCAAGCCTTATAACTCGCAAAGTACTTAATAAAAATGAACTTAATTATAGTGTTTTGAAAAGCTCTCGAGATAAGCTACAAGAATATGTAATAAAAAAGAGGGGCTCCATTTAAAAAATGCATGTTGACCTTGACCTGACCTTGACAACGCCATCCTAGGTTAAATATCTACTATCGTTGAATGCGTTTTTTTATGCCTTATAATTTTTGTACGAAACATTTGTTTCTAAAATGCATCGTTTATGAGATATTTGGGTGTATCCAGACTTTTGGCCCACCCGTATGTACATACAGGGTGTTACAGATACATACTAGGCAGTACAACGGGTTGCGCGGCAAATTTTGCATGGGTAGGCGCCCGGGGGGAGGCGCTTAACCTATGCAAAATTGCCGTGCAACCCGTCGTACTGCCTAGTATGTATCTGTAACACCCTGTACATAACGTCATGTATAAAACTTTTCAGTGTTAAAATAGGTATTCCTTTGGCATCTGTGCAAACGTTCTCACTTTATATGTATTAGTACAACTTTGCTTCCGCCGTTTTTTTTTCCGAAATTCGAGGCTTTATTGTAAAAAACTGGTTATACATTTATTATTCAAAGTATTGTCCATCGCTGGCCACTACTTTCTCCCATCATTCGAGCAGCGTACGAATCCCGCGTCGAAAAAACTGGTTATCTTTTGAGGCGATCCACGAATCGATCCAATATTTTACTTCTTCATAAAACCGGAAGTGCTGGTCAGCCAGGCTGGTGTGCCATTGATCGAAACAAGTGATAGTCAGAAGAAGCAACGTCTGGAGAATACGGCGGGTGGGATAAGACTTCCTATTTCAACGTTTCCAAGTATGTCTTGACCACTTTTGTAACATGAGGTCGAGTATTGTCATGCTGCAAAATCACTTTATCGTGTCTCTCGTTGTATTGCGGCCGTTTGTCTTTCAATGCTCGGCTCAAACGCATCAATTGCGTTCGATACCGATCGCCTGTGATTGTTTCAGTCGGTTTTAACAGCTCATAATACACTACGCCGAGCTGCTCCCACCAAATACAGAGCATGACCTTGGAGCCGTAAATATTCGGTTTGGCCGTCGACGTGGAAGCATGGCCGGGAACTCCCCATGATTTTCTGCGCTTGAGGTTATCGTAATGAACCCATTTTTCGTCCCCAGCCACAATGTGATGCAGAAATCCCTTCCGTCTTTACCTTTCAAGCAGCTGTTCACAAGCAAACAAACGCCGTTCAACGTCTCTCGGCTTCAACTCGTACGGCATCCAATTTCCTTGCTTCTAAATCATTCCCATGGCTTTGGGGCGTTTTGAAATGGCTTGTTGAGTCACTCCCAATGATCGCGCCAATTCTTCTTGATTTTGACACGAGTCTTGATCAAGTAATGCCTCCAATTCTGCATCTTCGACAACCTTCTTTCTTCCACCGCTATGCCGGTCTTAAACGTCAAAATCACCGTTCTTGAAGCGTTGAAACCACTCACGATACGTTCTTTCACTAATAGCGGTCTCACCATAAGTATTTGAGAGCATTCGATGAGCCTCAGCCGCAGATTTCTTCATATTGAAGCAGAAAATTAAAACCTCCCGCAAATGACGAGAATTTGGCTCGTAAACTGACATTTTCAATCGAGAATAAATTTATGATGCAGACACAAATCGACTAATGTTTCTATGGGGTTATGTTGACAGATGCCCAAGTTTGTTGTATGACGTCTATGATCTTTTTATTTCGACCACCACTTACCGCTAAAGTCATCTATAGGAAAACGGCGAAAGCAAAGTTGTACACCTAATAATACATGTTATTTTTTTTAATGCTCCGCTTCTAATGTAGGAATAGAATGAATCTCACTACTTCTTAGTAGTTTATACACAACACGAATAAATGTGAAATGTGTTTTATTAAGTTTACTGAACGTTACGCTGCGTATATATAGAACACAGATTGCCGCTTCTATCTTCACTTATGAATTTGAAGTGAGAAAATCAATATAGAAACTTCCATCACTTCTTCGCGAGCGAAGAAACGATGAAAGTTTCTATATTGATTTTCTCACTTCAAATTCATAAGTGAAGATAGAAGCGGCAATCTGTGTTCTATATATACGCAGCGTAACGTTCAGTAAACTTAATAAAACACATTTCACATTTATTCGTGTTGCGTATATAATTATCTGTTAAACAGATTTTCTGGACAGAGAATACAAACGGAAAAATGCATTTGTAATGTACAATAAATATACAAAATGTATTAATCTATTGATATACATTTATTTTGTAATAATTGTATTTTACAAAAGAAAGAAAGATGTCAAAAAAGTTCGGGATCCGAACCCGCAAGCTATTGCTGCGGTAGCTCTTCGATCAAATGATCTACTGAAATGGCTTATTAGGCACTCGAAATTTTCAACTTTGATTTTCTCACAAACGTTTGAGTAGTGACTATTATCCTTTTACTCAGTGACACTCGACGTGAAAACCTATCCCTATAACGAGTTTCGTTGAAATCGATTGGTATCACGTCGTGAAGTCTCCTTGTAGAAGAAACCGGAATGTTTTTCATTTGACAACATACGAATTGAAAATATTGCAAATAAAGGTAAAAAGAATAGTATCTATTGTACTGAACGCATAATTTTTCAGCTTGCGTATAATCAATAAAGTAAGTAATAACCGACGACTCCCAATATTAAAATCAAGAACAATGAAGAGTAGATTATGGAAGCCAGGCGCGATAAGAAGTGCGCAAAAATAATTAAACTTTTTGTTGTACAACCCTTTTTATTATTCCATAACTTACTCTTTATTGTTCTTAATTTTAACTAGAAATCCTCAGATATTGCTTGCTTTGATAAAAATTTATTTAAATACAGAAAGTGATTTTATCTATGAGTTTTCGAATTCTAAAAAAGATTTCAATGATTTAAAATGTTATAATACAAATAAAAATAATTGGTTTTTTTTGTTGAAGGGAATTAATTTATTTAAATATGTAAAAAGTGTAATCAAATAAAAATTTCTTTTTTTTTCCAAAAATAGGCAAAAATTACCTAAATCATTTTTAAATCTGCAAAAATTATTCTTCTACACTAAAAAAAATTACTTTTCGCTGTATATTCTTTCATTTCAATCATGTTTTTTTGCATTTAACATGGTTCTTTAATAAAGTGCCGAAAATTTGGGGTGACTCACCAGGGCCCACCCAAAATTACAAATATCTGCACAATTTGGGTGAAATATTAAAACTACGTTATCATAATGAAATAAATATAAAACATACGATAGTAAGGCCCGTTTCTACCAACGCAGATTAACTTTAATCTCGGTTCAACTTACTCTTTGTCTTTTTCTAGTTCTAAAGATTAGAAAAAGGTGAAGAGTAAGTTGAACCGAGATTAAAGTTAATCCACATTGGTAGAAATGGGCATATATCAAGAGCTGCATCTTCATCGAACGAAAATAACATGAGATTATGTTTACTTTTCGAGGTTAAATTTATATGCAAGTTTATGCACGTAATATCTTTCCATAATGACCGTTGACCTATTACTTTTTTGTGACCATTAAAATCGTAATTTTTTAAACTATTATAATCTCGTTTTTGAGAAAAGTCTATGGTAAAATTTGTGTGCAGTTAATCAAAGAAGCGTTTGCAAGCCTTATCTGTCACTAAGTTATACGTGAAAGATTACATTTTTAACATTTTTTTCTCTCTTATTTCATAGTTAACCTACCGTAGAATTTTGCACACATCAATTTCAGTACTGCAATTTCATTATATAAAAAAATTAAACATTTCTATGGTAACTTAATTTACTAAAGAACCATCTTAATCAGAACTTTTTTCAAAATCTACCAGGTACTCTAGGACTCTTTGGGGAAGAGCCAGAACTCTATGAATTAAATCGGAATTTTGACAATGAAGTTAGCTTCATAGAGATTGGAGAATGAACAACTAACTAGTTTAGGTTGTACCTGCCATGCAGAATCTGACGTCGGATCCCATACTGCAGCACAGAAAGATTGCGCTGTAATGTTTGTAATGATTGAAAAATGATTGCAGATATAACTCATTGCAATGTTGTAATATTGTAAATAGATTGTGCAATGTATTTGCAACAGTATTGCAATGTCACAGCATCATAAAATTGTCCGCCTTTAGCAAGATTGCGCTGTAATGTCGTAACAATAATGCAGCGCAATATATTTGCAACTATTATTAGAAATAATTCTTTTATTATTGAATACAATTTGTGATATAAATAAAAAAATACAGAAAAAACTAATCAATATATACTTTATATTATAATTGTTATATTTTATACTTAATTACAAATTTTATATGCAGATATATATGTTTTTTAAATTTTACGTATGTAGACATATATTCTACACTTTTTCGTAAATATATATTTTACACTTTATGCAAGTACGCCTATTTTGTATATATTCATAACTAGTGAAATGGAAATAATAAGAAATTCCACGCATTCTATTTAATTTTTTTTGCAATGTTCAAAGAATTTTTTAAATCTAAATATTCCAAAAAATTATAAGAGTTGATTATAAAGTTTGAAAAATCTTGTCGCGCGACGGCAACAACAAATTTGTGAACGAACGCTATAATTCCTAATGATCCCCGTATATTGGACGTGGAAAGTGTGGAAACACTTGCGGTAAAGTGCGACGAGGTAATCAATAAAAGCTTACCACTCCCAATACATTCATTGGTTATCATATTCGCCGCGCGTCAAGCGTTTCCGCGTCAGTGTGCAGAAGCCATAAATTAATGGAAATAATTAACAATGATATAACGTGTAATTAACGTGTATTTCCAGATGTAACAGCAGTTCATTATTCAAAAACCAAAATGTTTTTAATGTCTCTATAACAATACTGCAAGATTAGTAAAATCTTGCGTCGTAATATATATGTATTATACATATATTATAATTCTTAATACCTACAATCTGCAATATTGCAATATTTCTACAATGTTACTGCAAGTTTCTGTGCTGTATGGGCCTTTTCTTAATTAGTTGTTAAGAAAAAGATAACATGACCTTAGTGTATCTGGATAAACGGTATTGCAAAATTCCCTAATAAGATAAAGCACTCCTGTGGATGCGTAATAGGAGAGTGAATTTGGGTAACGTTTGTTTACCAGTATAACCAGCGCTATTATACGCAGGAAAGTGCATATTGGGGAACATTTGATTGATTATTTCCAGTATTGCTATCGTTATTATGCGCAATGTTTTACCTTATTAATTCCACTATGAGTAAAAGTTAGTCTGTATAGTCGAATGTTCGATCAGGTTGAAAACGCAGCACTCTTCGTGCACATATCAATCATATGCGATGTCCAGAAATTTCGATGCTACCTAGCACAATCAAAATTGAAACACATTAAGGCACTTGTAGTCGAATACTCAAATCATTAGGAAGTCCTCATTAGGATTCATCATTAGACCATTACCGTTAGAACGCCATCATTAGAAGTCATCATTAGGACTATAAGCGTAATTATTACTCCGGTTAATAAGTACCGTTCGTTTGATGGGTATCGATTACGTAAGATTTTCCATACGAACGAGGGCACAAAAAGTAAATAAATTCATGTGAATGTAACGAATAAGCGATTATTTTATTTTTTATTCCTACTAAACCGCTGGAGCAAAAAAAATTTTTTTTAAACAAATAATTAGCAAATAAAGAGCATTAAATTTTTGACCTATCGCGATTTTGATTTTCGATGGTGGGGGGTCCAGATTAATGGGGGTGATTAAGTAACTTTTGGCTACTATAAAATATGGAATAGTTCACGCGAAATATTTCGGTAGATAACAAAGTGCCTAAAATGTCTAATTCTGGTTATTTTTTAGTAAATTGATATAAACTAGCTTGTTTTTTGAAACTTATGATGAAATGGATATTACATTTTTGCGTCCAGTGTACAGAAACAGTTTTCAGTCTCGTTGGTTTCTCGTCTTTTATCTCACCAACCTGCGCGCAGCGACAATCGGCATTAAGGCTCCCCTCCCCCCCTCGTAAGCAGGATGATGAATCTCGCTCTCATAAAAAGTCGTGAACGCTTCGGGTCAAAAGCCGTGCGCCCCATTAGCAAGAATGAGGTAGATCTCGCTTCATATGAATAATGATGAGCTCTGTAACAGGGTAGAAGGTGCGAGATGGATCTCGCTCCGCGAAAGTCGTGCGCCCCAAGGAAGAAGGAGAAGCTCCTCCTCCCTACTTACGAGATGCAGAAGTGAACCTCGGTTCGTGCAAAAAGTTGCTAGTGCCCTTAGCAGGGTGGGAGATAGGACCTCGCTTGGCAAAAGTCGCACGCTATGTAAAAAAGACGGTGGAGATGGATCGTTACAGACATAGTATAAATAGACCGAGCATAATGCGGCTCGTGGCAGTCAGAGCAAGGAGATAACATAATCTAAATATTCTGAATGTTTGCGCTCTCTCTCCCTCTCTCTCTCCCCCCTCACACACACACGCGCGCGCGCGCACACACACACACACACACACACAAAAGAACATGGAGAGCATATCATGCAATTATGCCCCCACTAACGTTTCCCCCACTTTTTTCTGTCAGAAAAAGAACGAACACTCGGATTATGTTCTCTCTCTTTCACATGCACGAAATCATTGATGTCCTTGTCTGGTATATGACAATGCCCTCCGCTCGGTCTATCGATCTGTACTACATCTGTCGGGTGGAAAGTACCCGCTCAGCGTGGAACGTTCTCTCTCTCTCTCTCTCTCTCTCATCCCTATCGACCATTTTGACACACGGGTCGCGCAGTCCATTCTCGATGTCTTCGACGGAGATGAAACGATTGCAATTTTATTAGAGAAAAGTTTTTCTAAACATTAAAAATCGTTTTTTGGCGTTTATCTGTTGTGAGCTCTGGCTACATTCAACGGGGAAAATAGCTTTTACAACTATTATACAGTTCGACGGATTTTTAGCTTGATTTCCCTCATGAATTTGCACGCAGTTAATACGCTGCAGTTAATACCTCACCAACCAACGCACAGTTTACATCCCGCTTATATCTCCAAGCCCCGTGCAGATTAAATGCTGCTTGCTATTCCATGCGCAGATTAAATACCTATCGGCATTTAATCAGCACGCAGGTTGGTGAAATAAAGGAAAACCAAAGCTAGAATCAGCCGAAATGTGCTCTCGCCGAATTCTGATCTAAACTAATCATATTATGAAGAATTTTACAACAGCTGCATAAAGCTGCTTTCTCTATTGAACGCAATCATTGTCTTTATTTTTTTACATCGAATTATGATTGCGATTTTACATTAAAAACGGTCGTAATCGATCGCCATCGGAAATACCTCTTCATGTTATATCTCTGAAATTCTATTCTGAAGATAACACTATCAACATATGTTAGTATAATAATGGATCGACACTTCCTTACGATTCTAAAATTAATATCGAATAAATATAGCGTCCCTGCAGTGGAATTCTGTAACTCGTTATGCGATCGTTATGTGCTCATAACGACAATCGCGCAAATATTTTATATGGTAAAAAAGCTGCGCAACTGTCGTTACGAACTCATAACGACTGCGTAACGAGTTACAGAATTCCACTGCTGTGGGCCTATTCTGTAATTCGTTAAGACAGTAACGACATCGTTGCACAGATATTTTATGGTATAAAAAACTGCGCAACGTCGTTATTGTCTTAACCAGTTACAGAATAGCAACCCTGGCAGTCTAAAATTGATCATAAAAAACTTGGTATTGTTTCTGCTCAATGTGGATGTTGTAACAATACAGGTTCCTGCACACGAGAACGCTTGCCGCGGGGTATTATCAATTAATCGTCGCTTTATTAAAGAAGGGGTAAAGTGATTGTTTACCGCGTTAATTTCCGCGACGCAGCAAACGTTGCAGCTTTCTGCGTGTAAAAGCAGTATTAAAATGCTAAATATCTTAAATCAGACCTGCAGCCGACTTGCACAATTCGACCGATTTTCCCTGTCATCATCCTCACTCCTTTTGTTTCATGGCATTTAGATTGTGCACGGAGACATAAGACGCTCGAATTCAGGGATGATATTAGCCATAATTCGTACAGGGCACTATAGGGCTATAGAACTTTGAAACATATTGCCTAACATTCACTGTTAACAAATTTTCATTATTGTTATTATAATTATAATTAGTATTATGGTGTTGGAAACTCAAAAGTAACACTTCAAATTAGAACACGTACGTTAATTAAGTTTTCATACTGAAAAAAATATCAAAACAATCATTTTTAATAAATAAATCAATAAAATAAAATATGTGTGTGTGTGTGTGTGCGCGCGCGTGTGTGTGTGCGTGTGTGCGTGCGTGTCTAAATTTAACGCAAATAGATTTCCGCATCACCCTTGAGGTACTATTGTCGATGCGTTTTTTTTAAGTGATTCCCCAATAAGCCTAATTAACGTACGTGTTCTTTTTTGAAGTGTTACTTTTGAGTTTCCAACACTATAATACTAATAATAATAATAATAATAATAATGAAAATTTGTAAACAGTGAATGTTAGACAATATGTTTCAAAGTCCTATAGCCCTATAATGCCCTGTACGAATTACGGCTATATCATCTCTAAATTCGAACATCTTATGTCTCCACGCACGATCTAAATGCCATGAAATAAGACACAAAAATATAATTCTCCGCGCGATCCTAGGATTATACTTTGTAAAATAATTTTTGTAACTCTTTGTAATTTACACATTTTAATGAAACATTATTGTGCTATCCCAGACAGCACAGAATATTTATGATAAATATTCATAGCTATTTATTATTTATTTTTTGAAACATTTTATAAATATTTTATGCATATTCTATGTAAGCTTATTTTGAAAACATAGATTAAATACTTTGTATAATATTTATGCTGAATATAAAGAACATTTTTGCAAATATTGTGAGCTATCTGGGACAGCCTCGTATAGACATTTAATAGCATCATTCGATAGATGTCAATTAGACTTATCGCTATTAAACTTTCTACACTAATTTATTTGAGAAGGCCCTGTCTGTTACAGATTGATTACCTACAGCATCGTTCATAGTACATAGTACATATGGTAAACATCACTTTGTCTTTAAAATTTTTATTTGTGTGCAAAAATGTTTGGAGTCAAGTGACTTTTTTACCCAAATAATCTGTCAAACGTAATATACGCGCAAGCGGTGTAAGGTTATTAATTTGTCGACAGACGAAATTTTTTCGTTTTACGCTTGCAGGGATTATATCACTGGGCATTGGAAAACCGAACGCGACACACGTACACAGATGTAGCGTACACAGACATCTTGCCACGGCTTTTCACATTGTGTTATTCGCGGAAACGCGGAAAATATACGGGCCTTTTGAATTCAATTTTTTTTTATTGGCATTTAGGATATATCATTCCATTCGATTGAAGTTGAAAAAATGGAAGTATGAAAGAGGAAGGGAGGGAGAGAGGGAGGGAGGG